AAAACAAAACCAATAGTTTAAGAAGGACCACCTTGGTATGTGTATGGATGATGTAGTTGGGTTTGGATGGTTTGCAAAGGAATGACTAGTGAAGATTTCCTTCGAAGAAATCAAAATCAACCCGAGTAGCCCTTTTTATGAAACCTAAAATTCCTCTTTACCTAGAAACTTGAAACCTAGAAAATAGAAATGTTTTAAACCTAGAAATCTAAAAACTCCCTTTGTCCAAAACCTTAAAAAATTCCCCTACTCCACCTAGAAAAGTTCCTCTATGAGAACTTAAAGATTCCACTTTTGCGAATAAAGATTTCCTTTTTAAAAGCCTTGAAATGTTCTTGACTTTTGAAACCCTTAAAACCTAAAAAATTCCTTTTTATCCAAAACCTAAAAATGTTAAATTCTTCCTTAAAAATTTTCTCCCTCCTTAAACCTAGAAATTCGTCCTCTATTTATATCCAAAACCCAACTCCCTTCTACCCTTAGGTTGAATCCAATTAAATCATAGCCCCTCTCATTATCTTCCAAGCGAAACTACTACTAATTTTTGCTTCTTATTAATAGAGCCAAAATAATGCGATTGTTATTGTTTTTGTTGTTATGTGTGTGTGTGCGGGTTGGTGTAAATGGAGCAAGTGGTGGCGTAACACGATTCTTCGTTAGTATTGGTAGTCAAGAATCACTTATTTTGCTAGACATTATTGTGTGTGGTTTAAATTTTATGAGCCAATAATATATTTAGGCCATTAGGTTCTTTTTATTTTATTTTATAGGTACGAGGTATTTAAACCTCCTTATGTCTCTATTTAGGAAGTAGAGTGAAAGACAAACACTTTGTATTAAGCCTCTAGGGTTCTTGTATTCTCCTACTATCAAGCTAATAAAACTTTCCTCTCTTCCATAGAGTAGGTAATTTTTCAAATCACATAAATCCTATATGTTGATAATTTGTTTGGCATTATCTTTTAATTGTTACCTACCATTACTTATCTTGTTTTCATTGTTTTTCATCACAAGCCGGTATCGAGCATAGGTTGTGCATCTTTAGGTTTTTTTATTCATAATGACGACTACGAATTTTGATATTTTACCTTTTAATAGTTAAAATAATTTTAGCCAATGGAGAATAAAGATAAAAGCTTTGTTGTGATGTGAAGTTTTTGTCAAGGTAATAGAGGGTATATACCTAAATGGTATGACTTCTATCAAAATTGAAGAGATTGATGAAAAGGCTTATAATGCTTTACAATTATCATTGTCGGACAAGGTACTGTGAAAAGTCACAAATGAAAAGATAACGACGAGACTTGTGGAAGAAGTTGAAAAGCCTCTACATGAAGAAATCTCTTACAATAAGATTGTATTTGAAGCGAGTGTCTTTATACACTAAAGATGCGAGAACGTACGTCTATTCATGAACACCTTGATGAATTCAATAATATTATTATAGATATGAAAAATCTTAATATTAAACTTGATGAAGAAGATCAAGCTCCTATTGTATTGTGTTTATTATCTACTTTGTATGAGAATTTTGTTAATTCAATATTGTATGATAGAGAGTTAATAACTTTAGAAGATGTTAAGGCCTCTTTGAATTCCGTTAAGTCGAGACATAAGCTGAATGGTAAAATCGTTGATAGTCGAGTTGATTGTTTGCTAGTAAAAGGAAGACGAAGGATAGAAAGGGTTCTAAAGGAAGACCTAAATTTTGTTTTATGTCTAGATGAGTGCTACTACTCGTCACGAGAAAGGACATTATAAATCAGATTGTTTTACTCTAAATAAAAAGAAAAAACCACGAGGTCAAAGTTTTAAGCCTCGCTAATGTGGCAAAGGCTACCGATGTTGATGCTTCTTGAAAGTGTTCTTATGGTATATCCTCCGGATGGTCGTTACGATCAAGAATGGATCTTAGATATCGGTGCTTCTTAGTATATATGTCCAAATAAATAGTGGTTTACCACTTATGAACCTGTAAGTGGTGGCTCATTCTAATGGGCAATAATACGGTTTATAATATGATTAGTATTGGTATAATTCGTATTAGGTGTCATGATTTGGTTGTGAGGACTTTGACGAAAGTGAGACATATATTAAATTTGAAAAAGAATATAATTTCTTTAAACTATCTAGATTTGAGAGGTTATATCTACTTTGGTAAAAATGGAATTCTTAAGGTTTCTAAGAGTTCCTTGGTTATGGTGAAAGCAACTCAAATTAATCGTCTCTATATGTTACAAGGTAGTATAGTAACAAGCTCTACGAGGATGATTACTCCCTACTCTAAAAAGGAAAGGACTCAATTGTGACATATGCGTCTAGGCCATATGAGTGAGAAAGGTATGACTACTCCGAGTAAACATGGTTTGCTTTGTGATGATCAAATAACATCACTTGATTTACGTGGGCATTGTGTCTTAGGAAAGCAAACTAGAGTGTAGTTCTCTGTTGGCACTTATTCTATAAAGGGTATATTTAATTACATTCATTCAGATTTATGGGGATCAGCTCGGGTTCTATCCAAAGGTGGTGCACTTTATTTTTTGATATTTTTTTATGATTACTCTCAAACGATTTAGGTCTAGTTTCTTAAACATAAGAATGATGTTTTTGAAACTTTCAAAAAATGGAAAGTTCTAGTAGAGAATCAAATAGAAAAGAAGGTTAAACGTCTTTGAACATATAATGGCTTGGAATTACGTAATGGAAATTTTAATGAGTTTTGTATAAAATTTGGGATTATTCGACATCACATAGTTAGACACACTCCTTAGCAAAATAGGGGTGGTAGAGCGCATGAACAAGATTTGATGGAGAGAGCTAGATGTATGCTCTCTAATTCTTGTTTGGAGAAAGATTTACGGGTCGAAGCAGTTAACACAGACTTGTTATTTTATCAAAATTTCTCTCTCTACTGCCATTGATTGTAAAACTCCAAACAAGGTATGATCGAGTAAACCTAGTAATTATTCAAATTTAAAAGTATTTAGATGTCATGCTTATTATCATGTTAAAGATGATAAACTTGAACCTAGAACAAAAAAATGCGTATTTCTTAGCTATGTCGATAGGGTGAAAGATTATCGTCTATGGTGCCTTGAACTTAATTCATATAAATTCATTATTAGTAGAGATGTTACTTTTAATGAGAAAAATATGCTTGGTTAAAGATAGGTTGTTTGTGAGTCTATAGGAAAGAGTGAGAAAGCCATGGATAAGGTGGAGCTTTAAGTGAGTTTAAAAGAGAGACTCCTCAAAAACCATCACCAAATGTATCCCCTACGGTTGCAAGCATGTAATAGGATTCAAATATGAATGAAGATGCCACGGAATCCGAACGACTTTACTCAATAGCTACTGGTCGAGAGAAGAGACAAATAAGACCTCCCTAGAGATATACTCATACTAATCTAGTAGCCTATAAGCTTACTAGAGCCGAGGCAATGGGTATTCAAGAGCCTTCTACTTATAAAGAGGTAGTGATTTGAAAAGAGAGGCTCGACAGTGTGAAAGAGAGAGACACGATCATGTGAGTTTTTTCTCTCTCGTTCTTCATGCTTCGCTAGGTGTGAAACACTTGTCTTGTGCTCATGTGCCTTGAGCATTTATCTCCGCATGTTATGGTTTTGTTAGAGAGAAGAAATTTGTTTGTCCTAATGTTGAAGTCAATACTTTCTCTCTTCACATCTCTTATTATTTACACCGAGTTAGCTCATGTAAACTTAGAGGTGTGTTTTAATGAATTATTTGACGTTCTTAAAGGTTCGTAAAATTCAAGCCAAGGTGGAGATTTGTTGTGTGTGGCTTGAATTTTATGGGCCAATAATATATTTAGCCCATTAGGTTTTTTCCTTTATAGGTATGAGGTATTTAAACCTCCTTATGTCTTTGTTTAGGAAATAGAGTGAAACACAGAGACTTTGTATTGAGCCTTCATAGTTTTTGTATTCTCCTACTATCAAGTTAATAAAACTTCCATCTTGTTCGTGGAGTAGGCAATTTGCCAAACCATGCAAATCTTGTGTGTTGATAATTTGTTTTAGCTTTATCTTTTGATTATTACCTACCATTGCTTGTCTTGTTTTTCTTGTTTGTCATAATAGACATATTGTCTTTACTACTAAGGAGAGGAAATCGTTTTCGCCGAGGAATGGAGGATAGGTCATTCGGACACCTTTGGAATTGGTTATGTCGTTCAATCATTCAATTTTGGTCTTTATGTGTTTTATTTTTGCCTCAATTATGTCCCTTAAACATGCTATTTTGGTCCTTGGTTATTTCAATTTTTGCAATTATATCCCTACATTCTTCAATTTTAATTCGAGACTTTTAATTATTTCAATATACCTCTATTTGTTTCAATTTCAGTTTTGATTTTATTCAATCATGCCTCTAATTAATTATATCATGCAATTTTTGTATTTTTATATATTCTTGCATTTTTTAATTCTTTTGTAGTAAATAGTAAAAATAATTGAAAAAAGATAAATATAAACTAAAAAAGATAAAAAAATTGAAAGAAAATACATAATCTCAAATTTGAGTTATAACACAATGGATTAAGCTACCTCTAGTTCTCGCCGCGCGCCCCCGGGGGGGGGGGGGATGGGATATGAGCAATGGTGAGGACTATTCGGAATTACTAGAATTATTTAAATCATGTGACCGAGTCGGATAATGATTAAAAAAAAAAAATCGAAAAATGATTCATTCTGGTAAAAAGTAACCCGACCCGAAATAGCCTTTTTCTTACCCGTTTGCTCACCCATACGGCATCAGCACAAAAATCTTAGCGATCGATCGAGAGAGAGAGAGGTGGAACGCCTCACCAGTGTTGTTGTTATTGAGAGCTCTGACTCTGACTCTGAATCAAGATTCAAATCGAAAGGGAAAGGAAGGGACAGTTGGTGTGGTCTCTCAACTCTCAAATGGCTGATTGTCTGAGGTCCACGCTCACCTCACACTAACTCACAGAGTCACCACCTTCTCTTCCTCAATCAATGGCACTTCCGCCTAGATGGACTTTCTTACTCCATTTACTCGCTATACTTTTATTATTATCCTCAACAAAGACCTTTGGATCGGCAACAGATACAGAAGCAGAAGAAGAGGAGTTCCATGAGGAATTGTTGTTGAAGCCGTTGCCTGATCGAAAAGTGTTGGCCCATTTCTACTTTGAAACTGGAGCTCCTCCTTCTAATTCTAATGGCCACCACCATCATCTCTTCCCTAAAGCCATTTCTCAGCTGGTAATTTATTCTATTCTATTTGATTCACTGCATTTCCTCCTACGTTTTTAAAATTTATTCAAATATTGGATGTAACTTTAGGGTTTGTAAAAGAAGACTGTGAAACTTCGATATTTAGAACAGTAATTGTAATGTAGTTTAATGATTATTTGAATTTCTTTCTTTGACATCCTGATTGTTATTTTGTTGTAAATAACTAGCTGCAAGGATTTTGATATTTCATTGCATTTATGCTTCAACTACTTTCTCCTTTTAATTGTCATGATTTTAATTTTTTTTTCTTCTTCTCATTTTTGTTGCCAAAAGAAAATTTCTTTTGAGCCATTGGTTTTGATTATATTATAGAAATAAAAATATCTTCCTGGATTGAAGGCAGGTTATAACATGTGCATAGTTTAACATGGACAGGTCCAGAAATTTCAGATTAAGGAAATGGAATTATCTTTCACACAAGGTCGCTGGAACTATGAACGTTGGGGTGGGTTTGACACCATATCGAGCAACTATGCTAAGCCTCCTGGAGTTGAGTTGTGGGCTGTCTTTGATGTTCCTAAAGAGCAAGTTGATGCTTCTTGGAAGAATTTAACCCATACTCTTTCAGGTCTTTTCTGTGCTTCAATTAATTTCCTTGAATCTTCTACCATGTATTCAGCTCCTGACTGGAGCTTTAGGCAAGCTTCTGGCAGTCTGAGGTATGGCACGCTGCCCCGTGAGGCTGTTTGCACTGAGAACCTAACTCCATGGTTGAAGCTTCTTCCTTGTCGAGATAAGGCTGGGCTTTCTGCCTTATTGGACAGGCCTTCAATTTATAGAAGTTTTTATCATTCTCAACAATTGCATTTGACTTCAAAGCCATCTGATCTTGAGGGGTTGAATTTAGGCATTGTTCTAGAACAAACACTTACCGTTGTTCTTGATCCCAGTAGTCAAAGAACTAGCTTGACTCATATTAGTGAATCATATCTTCAGCCAAGTTGGTCTTTGAGTTCAATTTTTGGAAGGAAAGTTAATGGGAAGTGTGTTCTTGCTAAGTCTAGTAATGTATATCTTCAGCTTGAGAGAGGCCTAGTTGCTGAACTGAAGAAAAATGAGAATTATGGGGCTGACTATATTGCCTCTGAAGGTTTTGATGGCGAAACCAGCTTTGAATTGTCAGTTAACCCAGACAGGGTACTTAAAGAAGAAAATAGTAGGCATGGAATAGGCTCCTCTTTTCTTTATGAATTTTCAGTTGAGAAGTACAGCAACTCTAAACCATTTGATCTAGGCCTAACATGGAAATTTCCTGTAATATGGTCATGTCAACAAGCACCATTACATTCTAGTAGGTTTCTGATGGGCAGTGGGAATGAAAATGGTGCAATCGCTATCTCGTTGAAATCTACAGATTTAAATGACAGTTCCCTGGGTGCTAATGGTGCTAGTGATGGATGTGAGTTGCATGTTAATATTTTCCAAGTTGTCCCTTGGTATACCAGGGTTTATTATCATTCTCTCCAGCTGTTTGTGGATGATCAACCAAAGGCAGTTGGAGATTTTGTGGAAAAGATGCATGTTTTGCCTTCAAAAGACAAGATATCACCTGGTATGATGGAGATGGTTCTGAAGCTTCCTTGTGGTGTGAAATCAGCTGCTTTGACATTAGAGTTTGATAAGGTATGCTTAGCACTTCATGTTTCGAAGCTTGATTTGGAATCATAGCATGATTAGTGAATGAAGTCAAGTGTAATAAAATATATATGATGGTCAATATTATCCTCAGAAACCAACCTGTGGAAACAGTGGCAAATGGCAAATAGATTATAATTTCCTGTCTGCTAGATTTTTTATTTTATTTTATTTTTTTAATCTCATACTTTGCATGATTAACTCGAAATGCCGCCAATGCTTTGCACGGACATTCTTTCTTACTTAATCTGCTGAATGCTAGCACATTATGATAGCATTCTTGATGAACATAGGGGTGTCGAATCAAGTCATCCAAATGCTCCATTGTACTGAATCTTGCTATTTTCTCCGTTGCAACTTAACACATAGAGAAAGTTAATAATAGTCCCAACAGAATGGAAAAACGTATTGTTATTATATGATCACATGCACAGTACTTACAATGTTTCTTGTAAAGCCAAAGTGTATTTGAATTGTAGTTCTCATCTACTAGTTTATGATATGTCAACAGGGTTTTTTGCACATTGATGAGTACCCTCCAGATGCTAATCAAGGATTTGATATTCCATCAGCTGCAATAAGCTTTCCTGACTTCCACGCAAGCATGCTTTTCCCTAGAAATGACTCTCTGAAGAAGTCACCCATGCTGTCTAAATTTCAGGTGATATGATCTTCGATATCCTCAAAGTGCTTCATGTTGGACAATCCAAGTTTATTTGATTAATTATGGATCTATGATGCAGGAAAAGAGTCATGTTCTCTCTTATACTGAAGTATTACTTGTACCTTTGACAACTCCTGATTTTAGCATGCCCTACAATGTCATAACAATCACGTGCACGGTTTTTGCACTGTATTTTGGATCGCTGCTCAATGTACTTCGGCGCCGGGTTGGAGAGGAGGAAAGACTTCTTAAAAGAAAAGGTAACTTTGTCTCTTGAATTTTGTTATTGTAGGTTCACTGGAGTATGGTCTGTAGATATGGTCTATGAATGGCCCTCCCACATGGATTGAAATTGCTGGATTGAATGTTAATTATGCGATGATATCCTTGCACATTAAAATGGGTGGAGTATCTGAGAAATTTGTTTTGAGCTAATCATTGTGAAGATCTAGAAAGAGACTATCTTTCAGAAACAGTTTTCTATTGGTTTGACTTGCTCATTTACTCGGCTCCTGATTTTTGTTTTTGATCCCTCCATTTGCAGCTGCTGGAAAAACTGGTCGCCTTTCTGAACTGCTGTCCAGATTGTCTGCCAAACTTAGTGGGAGATCACAGGAACCGGCCCAATCCCCTTCAAATTCATCATCCTTGATAAATTCTAAATTACTACTTAAAGTCTTGTTAGTGGTTGCATTTGCTGTTGCCTGGCAATATTATTTTATATGACAACATCAATTGGCAAGTTAGGGATCTCCAATGTACAATACGCTCTAAAAGAAAGCATACTTAGGGACAAGTAAAGTGATTTTTCTTCCATTAAACCTCGTGTTGTAACCATTTTTGTATCATTGACCTATTTATTAGTCCATACATTTTTCTTTAGGTTTCCATATTATTTTCAAAATCTGTTTCATATAGTGTTGGTAAGCAAATCATCCCCGTATGCATCATTACCAATCTAGAGTGATATTTTCATCCGAATTGAGTGTTTCATGGCAACTCTTTCCAAGTGAATGATTTTAAAAACTAGGTGTCTTGCAGAAGCAGTGTGGAGCTCAACCAGTCCAATCATAATATTTAACTTCCCGTATCATGCATACTTACAGATGCATGATGATGCTATTATTTCTACTTTCTCATTTTTATTATTTACAAAATAGAACCCAAAAAAAAAAAAAAAAAAACCCATGAAAGTCTCATCTTGTTCTTTTGCAAGGAGCAGCCAAAATCACATCACCTTCCCTCATCCGTTTCAAATTGGCATTCATGCAACTGCATCTAAGTTGTGCGCTTGAAAGAATACTGTGGTTGTCTTTCCCTTTTGCTCCGAAATCTGAAAAACAGGCCATGGATTTGTGTTGTCAATGCCATACTGTATTTGAACTTGAAAGGCTAAAAGGCAGGAACATGAAAGGTGATAACTGGTAACAACAACACCAGTGTTGAGATGAGCAAGACAGAAAGATGTCTTGATCTCATTTCATATCTTTACGAAGCTCCATGAATCCAAGTTGCAGGATGTATAACACAAAACAAAACAAAACACAAAACTGACGGAATATCGCTCTGGAGTCTGGACATGTACCTGAGTTGTCTCCATTTATTTTCAACTTCTTGAGCAAGCTGACATGATCTTCTATCACCTGCTTCCTTTTGAAGCCAAGATCATTCCAGTTTGGCATCTGATAACTCTCATCGCATCCTGAAGAGAGAAATTTTCAATTGTTTTCAGTTTCTTGTTTTCCAGACCAAACTGATCTTTTTCATGGCAATCTTTAAATAGGCGCCTTCAAAATCTGTCATTAAAACTATCACCAGGCATGAAGGCCAAATGTTTTGTATACCTGAGTTGCTTTCCTTCATTTTTTTACTCATGAGCAAGTCGATATCTTGATGCTGTCTTCTGCTACCACTCACACCAACGTCCTCAAGTTCAGCCCCGTAGTTAATCCTGCTCGAAGAGCTTTGGGGGTCATGTGCCCCTGAGAACCAACAATTTCAACAAATTAAGCATTTAGTACAACGTTGTAGTCAATACACACAAAAGCACAGTTGAGATACCACTTTTGATTGCCTGAAAAAAATCCAATTTTATCAAAAATTTCGAAAGCATACATCGATCAAGTTACCTTAATCTTATTATTTTCCTTAGTCAGGCAATCCCAAGAGCTCTAGTGCCAAAGGACAATACTACTCAATTATTTATACAAGGAGACTTAGCCTAGTGATTGTGTTCGGTAATAGTTTTTTTTAGTGAAGTAAAGTTCGTATCTAAGGACTCTAAATTTAACGATACTATAATGGGAGAAGTTACTTCCATTGTAATCCAGTGATCGTGTATGCAGCCTAGTGACTGTATAGTTTTCTTTTTCCCCAGGATTCCTTAGCAGAAGAAAAAATATTACTAAAAAAAGACTCGTGTTTTCTTCACAATCAGATTAGGCGTGTAATTCACCACTCAAGAAAACAAAGAGAGAGACGTTGCAAAGAACTTACGCTTAGTCCCAACTTTGGAGAGCTTGCCATCCACAATAAGAGCTTCCTTATCATCTTTGCCAGTAGATAGACCCTTTGCAGAGAAAAAATTAAGAAGCGATCGCCATGTAACAGATGAGGATACAAGATCAACCCCTCTACTTATAAAGTGACCATTCAGCTTCAACGTGGATGGGTCCAACCCAAAAGTCCTAGCTATAAACCCCAAGTCCAGTCTCTGATCGTCCCATGCCAAGAAGGACACTATCTTGGACACGGAAGGACACTGTAACTTCACCGTTCTTGGTTTATTGCTGCTTCCTGATGATGATGACATTTATTTCGTGCTAATTAATCTATCTATCCAGAGAATCACGGTTCTTGTCTGAGCATCAATTCTTCTCTCGCCTACTCAATTCTGTTTGTGAGGGCAGCTTCTATTTTCCTTTTAACGGCTTGTTTCTGGAAGTTGTCCGAAGGTCGCTTCTAGAGAGACTCCGGAAGTGGGTTGGTTGGGCAGCTGTCATTTCTACACAAAAATTTCCGAATACTGTTAGGTTAAATTGTAAAATACCCTTATGAATTTAGAGGAAAAAAATATACATGGACAGAAAAACTAAATTTTTTTTTATCTTAAACAATATGATTTTTTGAATATGTCTTTTTTATTTTAAGTTTTCTTGGATATGTCTTTTTGGTTAGTTTTCATAGAAAAATTGACAAAAAACCCATAATAAACTTTCTAAATCATCTTCCTCTCTACAACTAGAATGAAAAAAAACCTCTTCTTTTTTCTTCTTCCATCTAATTCTAAGTTTAATAACAGAATAAGAAAAACTAAATTGAAAATTTCAAATAAGTCCAAAAAAATCTCAAATATAAATATTTTTTTTTTGAAAAAAAAACACCATAAAACATTTTAATTGGGGTTGTCGTTGTTTTAGCATCGTCGTCATTCGCAATGGAGAGAGAACTAATGAGAAATAGGGGTTGTTGGTGCTGCCAACCATCACTAGAATTGCTGCTATAACTGTAGAATGGTGATGAGGTTAACTAGAATCGGCAATGATAATTTTACGTGTAGGTGTGTCGATCTTTGACGGTGAAGGGTCAATGATGATGGTAGTTTGTTACAGACCTAAGCTATGATGTGTCTTATAACAAGAATAACTCTACCAGTACCAATCTATGCCTACAATGTTTCTTAAAAAGTTCAATATTTTAATTCATTTAGATTACCTCTCCCTTTATAATAGTTTAAAAGTATTTATTTTCTCTCAGAATACAACAATAATGAAAGTAGTTGTTAGCTTATGACCTTCCACTATATGAGCTAATCACCGTTGTAATAAGGTCTATCTAAAGATCCCTAGTAGAAAGAGTGAAACATATAGTTTTTCTTCAAAATATACTTTGTTACTTGTTATTGTTTTTTAACTATCTTCTTGAACTTTATAATTAAGTTAGAATAGCTCGTGGAAGGGCTAGAGCGCGAGGTCAGGACATAGGCCGTGGAGAATCCTAATTAATTAATAACTTGGTATGAAAGCCTTCCGTGGCCGAGGAACCTGCCGGCCAGTATTTTCTTCGACTGAAGCATCAGGTAGAGAGTCTTAGCCAATAGATGACGAAGATGCTTTAAGCATTTCAAATCATGGAGGAGTCTTCTACCAATTACCCTGGACTAGCTCGAAGGAACACTTGCGAGAAAGGAAACCAGGGAAATTTTGTTTCCAAATTGGTCAAATTAGATTTCTCTTGTTATGACAATTCATATTGTCCCACACTTTAGATCAATCCGGTAGAGCAATTCTTTGACTTCCAGAACATTACTATAGAAGAACAAGCATGCATGTTCACCTTCCATTTAGAGGGAGATGCTTAGATATGGGTCTAGTAATGAAAAGGAATTTACCTGAGAATGACTTGGAATGACGTGAAGGATGGCCTGATTAAGTGATTTGAAACGTCCAAATTTGAAAACTCTTTTGCTTATTTGTGCAAACTAAAGCAAATGGGCATTATTTGCAAGTATAATGTAGTTTGATATACTATTAGCCAAGGCTGTAGTTTTGACTGATGAATAAGAACTTGTGCCTTCTTTAGTGGAATTAAAGAGCATTTATGGGTGGAGGTCCAGGCCCAAATACCCCCAACATTAAATGATGTAATTAGGCTGGCCAAGGCTTTTAAAAGCAAGGTTGCTAGCTAGGAATGGAAATAGGGCAAGGCAGAGGCAAGGATACTCGAAAATTTTACCCCGTCCCCGCCCGTACCTTGTACGGGGTAATATTTTTCATACCTTTCTCGTCCCAAATGGGGACGAGGATCCCTAAAGGCACCGATGCCATGTTTAATTCTTTGTGTCCTCTCTACCCTACCCCGTTACGTCGTATTCTACTATCAAATTTCAAACTATAGTAAAAAAAAATGATAGCTTATATAAAAAATACAATTAAAAAAGATAATCATTTAGCATCATATTTAACTACAAGTTTACAACATAATTCATAATATATTAAATTATTTCAATCGAATAAATAACATACTTAATTAAATTAATAAAATATCACAACTATTAATATCACAAATACAATTAAAAAAAAATTCTTGCATATCTTTACTTGCTTAGAGATCATTAAAGCTCACTCATTATATTGGACTTCTATGTAATCATCGATTACCGTATATCCTACATTCATCAAAACTAAAGGTGAATTAGTCATCATAAAATTTTTTCATGCTATCATTTATACTTTGACATATTATTTTGTGCCTTCATCTTCTTTTAGATACTCATTATACAAAGTACAATAACCATCTAAAACAAATGGAGTTCCACTTAGAAACAAATATAATAAACATAAATAAGATATATAAAATTTTTAAAAAGTTAATTACAAAAATCAAATTCATATGTAGAGTTTTAGTACATTATTTTTATTTTCAGCTATCCACAACTAATTTTGAGCATACATTAATGTTTCCATTATCTTTGGATGAAGTCTACTTTGATGCGAACTTACTAGCTTGCCACCAAGCACTAAAAGTTGATTCTGAAGCAACAGTTGACACGGGAAGAACCAACACATCCTTAGCAATTGCCATCAAAGTAGGGTACTTTACCCCATTTACTATTCACCATACTAGACTATCAAAATATTTGGCTCTTAGAATAACACCCTCATCTAAGTAGTAGTCTAGCTCTATCTTGATAAAAGTAACATTGGCCTTCTTTCTTGAAACATACAAGTCAAACTCGGATTCCATATCCTTATAAACTCGTTGAAGGATTAGCCACAACAGAGCTACCATATCCTTCATCCACGTTCATATTTTTTGGGTACTTAGTTAGCAAACTATAACAAAGCTTCCTTATATTCTTAATCTGGACCATAGCCTCACTCCCATAAACTTTCTCATAAATGGAACTCTAGTAAATCCATTTTGTACCTAAGATCTAAAACAACGACCTACTTCTATTATTTCATGAATCACACTCCAATACTTATTGAACTTCACTAATATACTTTCTATCATTTCACTAACCATTTGATTAGGACAAGTGAGCCACCGAGTCGATGCAACCTTAATTTCATAAATTTTAGAGAAAAACAAATTAGCCATGGGGTATTGAGTTCCTAAAAACAATTTAGTAATACTATAAAAGATCTTTAATCCCTTATATATGTTCTTTGTAAATTCCCAATCACCGTCGGTAGGTGTAACTTTATAACGAGGTTCACGACACTTCGACATAGAAAAACATTCCTTATATAACAAAATAATTTCAAGTATCAAATAAGTAAAATTCCATCTAGTTGGACAATCTAAAGCCAATTTCTTTGTGATAGAATGAGAAGAAAGTTAGCGAGCATCCTCAAACTTTTTTAACTCTTTTAGGAGTTGTTGTCCAAAATGCTACACTATCTCTAATTCGATAAATCCCTTCCTTAATGACATCTAACCTATCTTTCATTATTAAATTGATGATATGAGCATAACACCACATATGCAATAAAGAACTAAAATTCAACAAATCTATAATTTTAACTTATATCTCATACACTCAATCATAGAATCATTGGTGGAACAATTATCCAATGTACTAGTAGATAATTTTCCTTCAACATTCCAATCCATCAAACAATCAATTAAAGTAGTTGCAAAGACAATGCTTATATATAGACAAAGAACATACATAAACCTAAAACAAGATATAAATTAGTTATAAACTAAAAATATTGAACTAAAATAATTAAACAACCTCATTAAGTTAATAAGAAATGAAGAGTACCTCAATAGCCAACTTCGTAATATCCAAGAACTATTAATGTAATGAATTGTAATAGCCATGAATCTTTTTTTTTTTTTGTTACTCGTTGTCTATAAATCAATAGTGATGGCAATTCTACTTGTATATTTTTCAAAAACTCATTATTTTAGCTCTCTCACTATCATATATCTTGAAGACATCATTTTTTACTATATTTTTACTTGGACACTTGAACAACGATAGAAGAGTATTTGTCAACTTTCTAAAGCCGATATGGTCAATCATAGAGAACGGTTATTCATGCATTATGACCATAGAAACAAGCTCATTTCTTCTTATCTTTTAATCAAAAGTAAGAGATATTACATCACCTATTAAGTTAGAAGTCAAAACCTTCTATCTTATATCTATAATTTTCCTCCTTGGACATATCTTGAAGTGATCATACAAATGTTTAATACCATTCTTTGACTTGCCTCCAAGTTTCCTTTTGCAATAATTGTATTTTGCTTTTTCTTCACCATTCACGGTTTTCTTTGTGACATGGTTCCACATAAAACTATATTATCTTTTAGTAGGAAGATCGAAATCACTTTGGAGTTCATCCCAAAGCAAATTGTGGAGATGAAATTGATTCGGTAATTAGAGTAGATGGAGTAGAATTCAAATGTATTGGTATAGAATCTATAAAGTGATGGAAGCTACCTCTATCTCCATGGCTTATCATTTTCTAAAAATATACAATAGTTAAAATTCTAGATCGTCAAGCAAAGGAAAAATATTTAGACAATCTATTGTATTAAAAGATAGGATAGGATTCAATTATAAAGAAAATAAATTATTCAAATAGTCGGCTAGGTTGATTGAAGAGTGAAGAAGAAGGTAGCAATGTGTGTAAATATATAAACGTTAATGATTAAAGAAAGATTGCCCTAAAGAAATATACTAAAGAGAAGGATGGCCTAGAAATATTTTAATGTTCTTTTAGTGCAATCCTAAGTTCATGGATCTTGTCGGACGGTAGTTTTTACATACTACTCGTAATAGTAAAAATTAATTGA